TTAAAAATTGCATAAAATAAATGATTTACTTTGTTTTTTTAAATAATATGGAAAAATAATTTTATCCATTATTTTTGGCAACCCCCAAACCTATGATTCGCAACCCCTTTGGGGTCGTGACCCCTAGGTTGAAAACCACTATTTTAGTGCATCCTTGTGGGGTTCTTAACGCACCCGCGGACAGCAAGAGTCAAAAGTAGTACGAGGGTTTTTTTTCCTTTTTTAAGTGCTACTCCGTACACGGATCATTATCGCGAAATACAAAGTGTATATGTTTTAACGGATGGGTGAATTTCAGGAATCACAGATGTACACGTACCATTTTACGCATCGCTTCGCAGTAGATCTCCGCTACCATGCATTTCCTTATTGCGTCCTTTTCTATATCGCCCAAACACTGTTCCACGAACATTTCGACCGTTCCATCTTCAGCCGAACCGCGGTCACTCGCAGTGTTTTCTCTTATGTTGGACATTAGCGTCTCGCGCAGTTTTGCCAAGTAACCGGCCCTGACCATGTCGCTGAGGCCATAGTCCATGTTCTCAGGACTCATGTCTGCTGGTGTTGCCGGCAGGCCCAGGTCCCATACCGATGCGTATGGTAGTGAATTCATGACGTCTCGTGTTCTAGTATACTAGCTATGTACTTTAGTAGCTCTCGTGCTTCCTGAAGTATCAGCCGGAAAGGTTGTACAAGCCAATCGGAAACAACGGTGCACAAAGACGTATGTGTATATTTTGTACTATAGCGCCGTATGTTTGAAACAACTCAAATTCAAATAGACAAGTCGATGGTTTACAGAAAACTAAAAATCTCGTTCCTTATTACATATTAATAGTACTTATGATCATAGCAACTGTTTTCATACTACGACACCTTTTCGTCGATAGCATTTCAGCCATAACATATATTTTAGTTTTTTATTTTCACGATCGTGTTTATAAAATTCCGAGCAAGTGTTGTTTTAAAAATGCACCATCATTACCATGAAATCAAAATGACAAGTTTTGATTAATATTCATTATACGCGTCTGAACAAAAAAAAAAAAAAAACTAATAAATATAATAACTTAATTTAGTTGATTCAGAGTCTAATGTACTGTTCAAATCGTTGTCCTTTTGTATATTATCAAATAAATTATCATTACTGTCATTGTTAACAGAGTATTTAACAACCATATCTGTAGGTTTTGTTTCACAATTTATTTCTTTGCAACACTCAGTTATAATTAGAGGTTAACATTAATTCATATACTCGTACCTAAGTGGTACCCAATATAATTTTAATTTAGGATGACTCACAGAGACTATTATAATATTTTTACTTTATGGACAACTTAAATCCAATATATAATAAAAACAAGTTTAAAGAGATTAAATAATAATGAGGCTTAATGGCTTACAATATTTCAAATTTGTAAAAGATATTAACAAACGCCTTACTACTAAAATATTTTGAGCTACATACCCCAAAAACTACTATTTTCGCCTTGTAACTTATCTAATGCTAAAGCTAGTGGCAGTGGCATAGCCAGAAATATCCAAGGGAGAGGACCAAATATAACACCAAAATCATATATTTTAGTATTGTTTGTTTTCTGTGCAATATACCTGTTTGCATGATCCACCGCCTGCAAAAACAAATACAACACATCATTTGCTATAGACTTCTTTTTTAATCTCACTATAAGCTAACCATGGAAATATTTCTAAATACTTATATCGATCATACTTTGGTTCAGGTATCCAAGTAAATTTCAAACAATTAAATATTTCATAAGACTGTAAAGTGTGTTTGACCACAAAATTGGCAATATCATGCAAATGTTCTGATTTTTAAAATAATAAAAACTATTATTATAATCATTTTGAGGGCTTACGTGTGTATGCGTAGACGTATATCGCATGCATCAGCATAGGCGATGGCGACTACGCTCTAGCAGTGGCGGCGAAGGAACGGTTATTAAACAGAAATAGCTATAATAGCTTATAATATTGTATACCGTTACAGCGACCTGCAGCCATTCTCGCGTTACGTCCAAGTTCTGTTCAAAAAACATTAAATATTCCAAATTTTGTTTAACCTAAATCATTTAATGTCTATGTATATATGTATATATGTATATAAAATATGAAATAGATTATACAAAAAATTAATTAATCAAATTAATTCAAAATAGTATAAAATACCTATATATTTTTTATTTTCCTGAAAATTACAAGTTTGGCACCACCGCACTTGCTTTACTCCCAAAACCACCACTGTGGTAATGGATAATAGTCCACAACTAAACTAAATATTATAATAATCAAATTCATTATTAGAATATAATCAGACTATTTGTCTATGGCTTTATGTCCATTATTCAAATCAATTAAAAGGCTGATACGTAGTACCACTGTCCACTACTCCAGGCCCGTATTTAAAAATTTGGCGCTCCCAGGCATATCATTTATGTCCCCCCCCCCCAAATAAATAATAATAATATAACACTAATTATTTCGTCCATAATCGAAATTCTTTAATATTAAAATATAACTTATAAATTAAAATCGTTTAATACTTTTTTTAATAAATAAATTAAACAAATTATAACATAATAAAATATACAATTTCCTTTTTTTTAATTAAGAAATTATAATATAATAAAAATACAATTTTTTTTTTTTAATTTACAAATTATAACATAATAAAACATACTTTTTTCTTTTTTTTATTGTTTTATTGTTTTTTTCATTAAGTACATAATTTTTAAAATTAATTTTGCTAAAATATTTTGCTGCCCCTGAGACTTCATGCCCCTGGAAATACGCCTACCCATTCCCCCCCCCTAAATACGGGCCAGACTATACCTGTAATGCCCCTAAGGCGTCGATAAACAAACAAATAAATAAAACATAAAATTTCTCGTTTCGTTCTTGAAGTCCGAAACTAACATCTCACCATCTTTCGTCGTTCGATTATAGGATTTGATGACTTGTTTAGCCATCGGTACTGCCACTACAAACCTACCTAATAGTTTCATCACTGCACGCGCAAATCATTTAATCAACTCTATTCGATCCACAGCCAGAACTTAACATTATATAATTATGTCCTTTTCGACTATTTGGGTCAATGAAAAGTCCTCTGGTGTTTGTTAACGCTCGATAACCTTAAGTAAACCTTAGAGATTGTACAATAAAGCGTAATTAATAAGTAATGACACGTGGTTTTTGATTCGTTTCTCTTCGGCGTTACAATTGTTACAATTAATTCAGTTGACAGAACCAGTGGCGTAACTAGGAATTTTTTATGGGGGGGAGAGGATTTCAGCAAATTTATATATATTTAATCTTATCACTACCATTTTGACTACTATAGTATTATATAATATAATTATATTGTAGTAAACTATATAGTATTGATCTCGGTATGTCTGGTTGACATTAGTTTTTTTGACTCGGGTAAAAAAAAAAGAATTAATTTTTCTAGTCTGATTATTTGTTAGAAAATTTTCCTATAATAATAAATAATAATAATAATAATAATAACAATTTAAGAACTAGGAGCTAATATAGGAACATAAATATTAGATATTAGAATATTTTCTGTCCAATCACTCAGATATACTAAATTTTATCTTACCATAATGGAATGTTTAGACGTCTTGAGACGTGAAAGAGAGAGTGATGTCAAATTAAAATAAAACAAATATAATGGAATACAAATGTCAAATATAAACGAATAAACTAGTGGTAAGTAAAACGGTGAGACACTAGCGGGCAACGACCAACTATTAACTAACAACTACTAGTTTTACATAATAACAGGCTTGTGTTAAATGATCGGCAAGCCGCAAATGCAATAGGTATACCCAAAATAAACTTTGAATACAGACAATGATATCGCTTTTATCTCAGTTATCGGAACCAGACGACCGATTTAGAATCAACCGTTTTAGAAAATTTAAATATGTTCCCAAGTAAAAATTATCAAAGTAGTAGTTAAGTATCTAAATATGATCATAATATTAATACGTGTGTGTGTGTGTGTGTGTGTGTGTGCAGCGTGTGTATAATATGTTTATAGTGTTTATACAAACTATTTCTATGATATCCAAGTCAAAATTCTAAAATATAAAAATGTTAAAGAAAAAACCGTGTTTCATGTAAAAGTTAATTTACCATGTCAGGTTTATGGGGGTTCTGACTCCTAAAACTCCTTCATGGATACGCCACTAGACAAAAGTTTTCGGTCACAGTCTATGCACGAGTCTATGTTATACGTACATGTATTGTAATATGTATGTTTTTGTTTTGGTACGGCATTTGTAATTTAAATTTCGTTGAATTTTTAAATTGAAAACATATTACCGGTGTAATATTAAGTCGGTAAGATCATTCATTCCGAATAATCGTATTACCCCAGATGCATTAGAACTGATAATCGCTATCAGTGAATTGGTTGTTTTTTGCAAGCCCGGTGGACTATACAAATGTTCTCAAGTGCAAGTTTATTTTTTAACATATATTAAATGATTTTTTTTTTTTTTTTTATGACATTGCGGGGAAAACACTTTGGGTAAAGCTCACGACACTTAACGATTTAAAATGTAACACCGATTCCGTCCATTTATCTTCTTGTCATTAGCTCAACACTTTATATTATACATTTCAAATTATTTCCGTCACAACTACCTCAATATTGGTAATATAAATCACTTAGTAAAATAACATTACTCGTTCGTCCATCATAAACTCAATTTCCACGTAAACCTTCTAATTGTTCATCTTTTTAGTGTAATATTTCTTGATAATCCAAAGATTAAATCGAAAATGGTACATTGAAATAATTTTTAAAATTTTTTTTTAAACTAGAATAAATTTAAAATACCTAAAATTATTTTAATTATATATATTTATTAAAAGAAATACAAAAATACTCCTGTCGCAAAAAATTCTATCGCTGGATGGCCTACCTATACACAAGAAAACAACATAGGTAATAAAATGTTAAAATAAAACTCTTATATAACGATGATATTTATTAAAAACAATCGTGAATTACATACAAAAGTATGCCGCACACCATCAATGTTCTTCATCAGTAAAAGTATAATACATATATTAAAATAAGAAAACATATGGATATTATTAAATTGTAATGAATCGTTATCAACCTGAAACAAAAATTAAATCATTTTGTTCGTTCGAATTATGAATTTTAATATTTATAACAATATTATTGAAACCGAAAAGTTGTGTAATTAATGCGTAAGTAAAACAAATTTTTCTCCTTAGCTATCGTTGATACGTGTATTCGCAGCGCGTGTAAATAACCGTGTTCATTGTTCTTCGGATACAAAATCCTAAATAACTATCTACGTATTATATACCTGCACGTTTCAACACCCCAAAGCGTTACGGATAAGTGCTTTTAGCGTTAACGAATGATACTGTTTTTTTATTACAATATCATTAACGAAAAATATTTTACGGAACACGATTATAATACGTACAAGCACAAGGTCGCGACGTTCTTTTATGGACCGAAGCGGAGCGAGAAATACCGTGAAGTGCCGACCACACAATTCTACGTTATATAACCGCTATCGCGTGTGATGTATCATTAAACAATTACAGGAGATAATCGTTGATGATTCGGCCCACGGTCTCGGGAAATGATCAAACCGTACGAGCGCGATGATCGCAACATCCTATCCGATCCCGTTGTTACCGTCCGCGTCCTACTAACGCGATTCGAACCGTTGGGTGTTCGAATTTACGCGAAGACCTTTCGTTGAAACTAATTACGACTATATCCTAACAATCCGATCGCCCGTCTTTCGCTAAGCATTTTTTACGCGTTCGACCTGGTTCCTACCTGTTCAGTGTGTTGTTGTTCGTTCCAGACGCTTGCAAACGGTTTCCCATCAGGTACACCCGAAAGCCTCTGAGGTACTTATCGAAATAATCGTCCCAAGACACCGTGCTCATGTCGAAATCGAACAGCATCTTGTCCCTTGTCGACATTTTGTTCATCAGACCGCTTACGTTGTGGTTGTGGTACCTGACGCGCGTCCGCTGATACGAGCTCAAATGTTTAGCCGCCGCGTGCACTCGTCTATAAAAATCGTTCAATCTGAAAATGACACGCACGCAAATTACAGTTCGCAAACGTCACGGGATATTTTTCACTTGATCAATGAAAATAACTTACCTGGGCTGTTTTTCTAAAATCCAAATGAACAAGTCCACGATTTTTCCCGGGACGGTGTGTAAGTAAAACGTCATGACTCGATACAGGAATATGCTGTCGGTGACGTAATAGAAACGCATAAAAAACTGAAAACAAATCACAAAAATGACAAATGAAAATTTGTGCTTTTCAAACGGACGTAGAATTAATAAATCACGATCAAAGTAATGTTATTACAAAGTTCGACGACAAAACTTTTTTTTGGTTTTTGAAAAATTTCTCTCCTAATTGGTTCCAAGAGCATGGCTTGTAATTAGACGACGCGTAATTGTAAATCAAAGTATTCACCACATCTCTTGGTACTTCCTCGTTGACAACGTCCGTCCTGTGTACCACGTATACATTTTAATTGTATATTTCTATTATCAAATCGTTATGTAAATCGATGATTTTTTTTTTTTTTTTTTTCATTAAAAATTACAAGTGTGGAATTTTTTTTTTTTTTTGTTCTTAATGAAACATGTATATGTAATATTTCTTTTTATTTGTATGCAATTAAGTATTGAGTTTCTATTTGGTAACGACAAGTATCCATCAATCACCGGACCACTTATGACAAAATAATAATACATGTAATAATATAATAATATAATCAAAACACATTTACCGAGTCAGAAGAATTTTTTTTAATTTTTTTTTTTTCATTATGAATAAAGTTTTCCTGATATCTGGTCATCTAAGCTTAAAGCTAATATAAATACAATTGTTTGACGTTCAGAATCGAAATCGTCAATCGAATAAAGTACACATACTTATTGCCAATTAAATCCCAGCACGCCACCAGGAGAAGATTGACCAACATGTCAACTGGCACAATCTCAGCGTTTACGTGGCTAGGTCCATGAAAAATTCGTACCAAGCCTAGACCGAAACCCAACGCGCATCCGGTGAGATCGTTCAAATTTGTCCAACCTACTATAGGTTCATTAGCGGTGCCTAAAACTGTGAACATAGAAATAATATAATTTAGTGTTTTTGCAATTGTTTCCACATTGTTGATTCAAAAGAGTTATAACCAGATATTAGTGATAAAGTATGGTATTCATTATATTAAGCGTTCTATAAATTTCCAAACATATAATGTACAAGTCTAGAAGTTCTAAGTGAAATATATAACAAACAAATTTTATTTATACACATTTCTCAGAATCATGAGACTGATGGTGCATCAAAAACATCTGGTAAAATTAACATTTCATTGACTAACATAAACGTTAATTTTTATCAGTGATGCACTAGTCATGTTGAATAGTTCAAACGGATTTTTAGATTCTGAGTGAAATGAATAATCGACTGGTTTTACCGTATGGGTTTTTTTATGTGAAAACATCTTATACAGCGCGTCGTATAAATCCGCGGCGTTCAGATTTATCGGCTTGGGCAGTGAAAATGTTTGAGCCTAACCTTTATGACGTAACACTACCTAAAATTATTAAATTATATTATTAAAAGGAGAGACGATTTTTACGATCTAACGTTATACTGGACCGTTATGGATAGTTTTTTTTTCTTAAACGCGAGTACTTTGTATGCAGATGGGCCATCTAATGATAAAAATACAAAAATTTAATTAATTAAATAGTTATTATTTTTTAACATTCATTTTGTTCTAGTATTTTTTTTTTTTAATATTTTACAGATCCAATAACATTTTGTTTCACATCTACGATCGAGCAATTCAAAAACGAGAACGATTATTTTCGACAAATTGCCACATGGATAAGTGTAAATAGTATTTATAAGCTATACAATAAGATCATGTTTTTTAATGAATTTTAGACTGTATCATAACACGATGCAATAGCTTAACATATTTTATATTTTATGTTTCGTATAATTGATAACTATATGATCCGTCTTTATGGGCCATTTTACACACTTTGTCGCTAAAACATTCATATTTTATAAATACTCAAAAACACTCATTTACGTTTAATTTATACTCGTAGGCATATAGTAGAGATACATATTTCCTGTATTGATTAAATTATTTCTTGAATTAGCAACCTGGTATCCATGGTAATTTTCCCACAAAACTATGATGTATGAAAATTCTTGATCAATGCTATTGGATTTCCCATGACTTAAGTTGCTCTTTACGATGCAAGTAACTTACATACGAGATTACTCGTAGATTGTTTTTGAAAATATTTTTTCATGATACTTTTTTTTTTTAGATTTAGGGTTGTTATAAGTTTGAAGTCATTGAAATTTCAATAAATTAACTACGTGTCAGTTAAAATAATATTTATTGAAGCGATATGCTCTTTATTTTAAAATAATTATCATTACGTTTACGTTACTTCAAGAGAAAGAAATGTGTTTATAAGTTACTCGTATTATTAATAATAATAAAAATACCTATGCTTAGAAATTATTCATATTAAACTTTTAGTTTTAAAAAATTAAAGAAACACATAGAATTTTAGAGTGGTATTCTACCAATCCTATCCAAATCTTGAAACTTGCTGGACTGCATTTAAATGTTTAAAAATAAACTTCGAATGTATTTATATAATATACACACATTAATATAAACATTTCAATTTTTATTAGAAATGTAAAAAGTTATTTTAACAACGAATAAAGTATTTAAAGTTCATGACAAGTAATTTAACTTATTATACCCAACGTTGATAACATTCTTTATGTTAAATGAAATTACATATTAGAGATTGTAATGTATTCTCAAAAAAAAAACATATATAATATAATATTATATATTTATTATAAATAAAATAAAAAATAATAATAATATAATTTTTTTTATTATATACTTTTATATTTATAATATTTAAATTTAAATTTTCTTTGAGGACTAATGGATGAAAACACATAATCTTTTTTTTTTATCTCAAATTCTTAATTCATTTGATGTGCTTGTCAATAATTTATTATAGTACATTTAAAATTGATAACGTTTGCAATCATCATCGCATTAAAGTATTGAAAATGGATTTCTAATATTCCTTTAAAATGTTAAACCACAAAACGTGTTCTGTATAGTTAATAAAACTTGAAACAACATTGAGACGTGAACACTTCTACGTCGATCGTATCTCATACCATTAAGTTCCAAGATAATCTAAAGAAGTAACGTAGGTAACTCGGAAGTCATTATCTCTTCGATTACAATGTATGGAGTTTAATCATTAATTACAGAATAATCATAGGTTTCCAAAAATTCATATAAAAATACGGAAAAAAATTAAAAATATTAATTTAAGACACTAGAAAATTGGTTTTTCTAAGACCGGTTCTGTGTACTTGCGTCAGCAGTATATTACACAGCAGTATATAATTAATCTCATTCAAGCATACCTTTATAATAGTGCAAAATATTTACCGGTGTAGTGATTCATAAAACATGAATACTGTTCGTAACTTTAATGTTTACAACCTCGTATCACTCAAATTTATAAATATTTATAACACTTATACATATCAAGTGACATATTTACAAATTTCTTGTTGGGACACATTTTAAATTTTTCTAAAAAATATGTTATTTTAAATTTTTCTAAAAAATATGTTATTTTATAATATTATAAAAAATACATATGAGGTATAAATTAATAATTATATTATTATAAATACAAATTAAGAGTTTATTTACTTTAACTTTAATTTTACTTACTTACTAACTTACTTTAACTTTAATTTAGTTTATTTAGTTAAAATAATTTTCTCTTTCTCTGTACCTTCGTAGCAAGTAATTTATGATTTATTATTTTTACACAAATTTCATTAACTAACGATAATTTATCTAAAGTTTTTATTGTATTTTTTTAAGTGGCAAACCTCAATAATACCTGTTAACCTAACCAGAAAAAACATAAAATCAAATTTCAATCTGCAAACCAAAACACGAGAGCACTCGAAATCCATTCTCAACCCATTAACCGAAACCCTCGAAAAATAAACCCCTTTTAATTAGAACTACACAGACGGAGTAAAAAGATGATAAAAGTTACCGAATCCTGGTCGTATAACACATACGGGCAACTCTTGACCGGCCGATTGGACGATCTGTTCGGACATCGCTTTGGTGAACGTAACAATATCCGGCCACTCAGACACGAGTCTGCTGGAACAGAACGAGAAAAGAAAAAAAAACAAAAACATTAATATCATAATAACATTACACAACACTGCGTAACAGCGATTCAGTCACGCTAAACGAATATAATATATTATACGTCGGACTTGCCCAGCAGTCACTTGGTTCAGAACGTAGTCAGGCAGAGTTTCGACCATTTGGATGACAGTGGACGCGGGTACGGAGGATTTGTAGAACTGTTCGTAGATCTCCAAGGCCGAGGGATTAGTGAATATGGACGACACGTGGACGAACGCCTGTTGTGACAGGAATTAATATTAAAAAAAAAAAATATTTTAATGACACGATGACGAGAGGAAACAAATTGAGATTAACAACGGAAACGTTGAAAATCTCGGTGGAGGCAGGGACGAATTTAAAGTTTTGACGTCCCGAGTTAGGTTTTATTGCCACCCTTACACACATTTTATAGAATTTTTCAAGATTATATTTATTATCAATTGATTTTACGCGATCAACTTTTGATGATATTATCATGAAAATAAAAATCGCAGTGTAGTCGGTACACGAAATCTTAAAATATTAAAAATTTTTGATTGACCAGTAATAATTCCAAAAAAAATATTGCCGCCCAAGGCGATGGTACCCCCTTGCCACTCTAACTACGCCCCTGGGTAGGGGATGAGGGAGGACGTCACGACCTTAAGGTTTTGAAAACGTTTCGCCAACACCATCAAGTCCCTGGTGGCTCGGACGTTCGTGCAAACGGCCGCGTGCAACGTGGGGTTGTTGTCGGCCGTGGTCGCCGCCAGATGTATGACCACGTTTATTTTCGACCGGATTGTGTCCACGTCCACCTCGTCGATGCCCAAGTTCGGCTGTGAAAAATCGCCGGTCACCACTCGCACTTGACTACGGTACATAGGGTTTTCGATCTTCATGCGGTCGAACAGCTGCAACCGAAGCACCCCCATCGACCATCACGCGCGTCAAACAAATCACATAACATCATCGATTGAATATTATAATAATAATGGTATTTATAATCCGCGGATTTATTACATACGCGTACAACGAAATTAATATTTTTTGAAAAATGTATTTACGTTTGTGTATATTAACCATACAAGCAACAATAATATTACTATTCATCATTACTAATTCGATATTAACAGTAAAACACGTATTTTGTGTTAAATAAATCCTACTTTATTTATGAAATACTAGCTGAATAATTACCTAGTATTACCTGGGAGATATTTTACTATTTTGAATTCTAGCAGTAATTACTATTTTGATATAAAAAGAAGAAAAATAGGTTGAAAAAAAGGCATGACCGTAGTAAATTTTGATGATATTTATTTTTATTCATTTGCATTATATTAATTTACACATTCCTAAATCGTTAATTATTAAAACCAACACATTAAACGAAATAAAATATTTCCTTAGTAACCAGAAAATGAAAAATGTAATCATTCGGCCCAAAACTGTAGCCCAAAACTGTTTCGACCCCTAAAAATGCAATTTTTAAAAAATACTTTCTTAGTGCACTCGCACGTGGTAATAATTACATTGCATTTAAAAATCAAAATGCTTTCAAAATTCTTTTAGTTTACGTTGATATATAATTTTGCACATTGATGCATAACGAAAACATAATATTATTTATATTATAAAGTATGAATAAAACATTTGAAACATAATAATTGAAAATGTGTAATAAGAACTAACTGCATATAAAAAAGTAAAACGACATTTTATTAAATGAAAATAATCATCATTATTAATTACCGGACTAATAAACATTTCTTTGACCCTTTCATTTGGATTTTGACCGTTCAACGGTCTTGCTACGATATAAATCATATTCAAATCGCGACACGACCTAGAAAAAAAAAATTTACTATACAATAATAATAATAGTTGTTTATTAATATTGTGACGGTTGAAATATTGTTTTAATCACGGTTTACCTCAACAGTTTTTCAATTAAAACTTTTCCGACGAAACCCGTTCCGCCGGTGATCAGAATACTAGAGCCTCGAAAACATTTTTGAATCTGACTTTCCGGCGACTCCTGGAGATCGTTGATAAAATCCTGTATAAAAATATCACCGCCTTCCATTATGCTACGATATGATTTAATATTTCCACCGAAACCGCGATGTATGATTACTGCGTCGTGACGGTCTGTAGACGGTTTTTGTTTTTGTTTTTTTTTTTTTTTGTTTTTTTTTTATAATAATGTACTCGATATGCCGATGATACAACAACTACACGCTAAATTATTTATCACGGCACATCGAATATAAAACAATTACCGTCTCGTTAGGTATAATACTATTCAAGTGAACTATATGAATGTATAATTTAAAACCTAGTTACCATATACATATAACTACACCGTGTAACGAAACTACGCTGTATTCTAAAACAAAACCACCATAACATAATACCAGAACAAAAATTGTCATTAATTTATTTTTATCGTTATTATTATTACTAACATCTCGTGGGACGGAAGTCCCTGAAAAGTTTCTATAGCGACAGTTTATAAAGTTTCAAATTGCAGAATTACACAAATCGAATGTAAATTATACATTTAAGTTATAATATAAATAACCATTATAATAATAAAATGGGATTTTTATTTTTATCATGAACGCTCAATTAATTATATGACGTATCATTACCGTAAAGGATCATAACAAAAATCAAATTAAGAATATAACAATACATTTTCGATATAATGTTGCTAAGCAATATTGATATTCGTTATATAAAGAAGTTCAGTAACCATTCGATCAATAGTTTACTATACGTTGTTTCCATATAATATGTAAAATAACATAAATAAATTACTATTTTAGCAGTAAATATAATCGTAAAAAGACTGAACTTTTAAAATATGTTCCTATATTATTTCTGATGACATAATCAACGTATGGAAAACAACAATTATATCAAATATTACATGTATGAGAATAATTTATTACACAGGTATGAGTCGTCAATAAAATAAAGGGCGTCAGTCATTTCCGCCAAAAAATTGGATTTTTGTTTTTGCCGAGTCTATTTCTACCAGCTGTCTAAATTATAGTTTAAGAATCATTTAGAGTTACCTAATGGATACCACGAGGAAGCAGTTCTCATTGACCCCTAAAAAAATATTAAACTTAATTTTCAGATTAAAGTTTAAAATTTGAATTGGAATTAAATTGATTATAGTTCAATTGATATATAATATATATATATATATATTATATTATATATATATATATATAATCAAATATTTATGACAGTTCTATAAATCATTTATTTGAATAATTTTTGCCTATCTTTTTTAAAAATATTATTCTTGAAACAGTTTTATTTTTGTATTCATCTATTACGTTTGTTGTATTAATTAATCGTTTTTTTGTATTATATCTTACATGTTTTTTTCATACTCAAGTGGCAACTATTAATTTGAATGTATACGTTGTTTTGAACATTTGAAATTAAAATTTTTAAACGTGTATTAATGTGTAGATGCAAGTTATAAAATTGCTAATTAAAATATGCGTGAAATGATTCAAAGTTATATAGGTTGTTCTGGATATACTTGAACTGAAATCGGACCATATTGTTGGGGGAAACGATGCTTGACAGAAACAAAAATCAATTTTTCGACGAAAATGATGACCGCCCAAAATAAATGTATATTTAAACGATTAATAATTAATTGTATGCGTTATATAATGCGAGTATAATTTATATTTTAATCGAACTAAAACAAAACACGTTTTATAATTAGTAATAAAATAGAATAATACATTCTATAGATTTAAACGTTACATTTCAAAACAAATAATTGATGTTTGGTCACTTTTTTAACATTATAGAATGACGAATCAACGAGATATCGAAAGGATATCCGGCCGTCGTGCATATTAAATTTAAACGTAACCACGTCCGTGATCGGTTTCATCAATCCTAGACATTTAGACCGTAACCTTCAACATATTAAGGGCGTTGAGAAGTCGAACGATTAACTACAAGCGATGTGCAAAAACCAAGACTACGATGTCTAGCCAGTGATGCATTTAATATAATATATTATACGCACCCCGGGGTAAAATAATTTTTCCGCCCTTCCCCCTTTTCAAAAAAAAAAATATATATATATATATATAAATAAATTCAAAGTTAAGCAATAAAAAAATTAATTTTATTTAATTAATTTTATTTTTTATTTTACAAATTATAAATCAGTTGTTTTGCGATATTGTATTAGATAATTTTATAGTAATACATATCCTAACGTTAACCTAATTTTTTTTTTCAGTAAATATTCCTTTCTTAAAAAAAATTATATATATATTAAAAATATAGAAAACGGAATTAATACTTATTATTTTTTTTTTTTTTTTTTTTATTGAACAAAGAAACATCGGCTACAAGGCCATTAGTTATAGTATTACATTATTTTTTATTTTTTAATTTTAATAGTTTACATTATGTACATAGGTTTTTAAATTAGGTTGTATAGTTTTATTTCCTTTAAGAAGTTGACTATATTGATATTTGATTGGAGATCTGGTTGTAGAGCTTCGCTAAGTTGATAAGGAATGGAGTGTTTGGACCCTGAAACTGCGTACTTGGAACAATCAATGATTATATGTTTGACAGTGATCTCTACTCCACATGTTTCGTATATGGAAGGGTATTTTCTAGCCATAAGATGGTTGTGTGTTGTAAATGTGTGGCCACTTCGAAGACGATTTGGAATTATTTCGTCTTTTCTATTTCAGCCGGGGTTTCTCCAAACTTGGATATTATTTTTTATTGTGTTTAATTTGGTGTTTTGTTTTGTCCAGTGATTTTGCCATTTATGAAATAGAATCATCTGAATAAGTTTTTTTAAATCTGCATAGGTACTTAAATTTAAAATATGGGTGTCGGTCATCGAGGCTGCTTTGGATGCTTCTTGATCGGCCAATTCATTGCCGTCAATTCCACAGTGTCCAGATATCCATAAGAATGCTATATCTATTCCTTTTTGACTTACTTCATAGGTTTTTTCTTGGATAAGTTTGGATATATCTGTTGAATTTGTTTAGTTATTTATGCCAGTTAAGCTGCTGAGAGAGTCGCTTAGAATTAAATATTTATTGTGCGACGTTTCTTTATTTATGATTATGTTTTGGCTAATGCTTCGGCTGTGTAAATAGGACATTCGGGGGAAGTTTGTAGGAGGAGGAGGAATTTTTCGTTATTATAGATATTTCAACGTTTTAGTCTGATTTAGATGCATCGGTGTAGATGTATTTGTAGTTAGGGTATTTTTGTAATGTGTTTTGAAGGATGTTTCTGTACATAATAGGACTGGTGTTTTCTTTTTTGAATTCAGAAATTTCTAGGTTTTAGGTCAAAATACGTATTCCACGAAGAGAAGCTCGGGGGTTTTATTTATACTAGGTGTTTTAAGTCTATGTGATATTCTTCAGCTTTTTTTATGTTCTTGGCTATGTATTTATTTGAAGGGTTTTCGATATTTATGAACGATCTGGCTGTATAGAAAAGAGTGTTATATGTTCTTCTTAAGTCTGGAGGTAGTTCATTAGCTAAGTTTCTTAAACTTTCAATGGGACTGGATTTATATATACTTATATAAATAATATTATATAATTATAAATAATTATTTAATAATCGGTAGAAACGGTTTCAACCGTTGACGGGTCGCTGTCTGCACCGTAACAGCAGAGTGGAGAGTATCCTTCGCGGTGCGTTAACACATTTTCACACACCGGTGCACAAAATCGCGTATCACGCCAAGTCGACGATTAGCTCTCTAAAGACCGAATTGGTGGTCGTCCGAAAAGGTATTTTTTTCTCCAAGGTTTATGCAATCGAACGCGACCAATAACAGAGTTCGAAAAGCGGTTGAACGATCTGTGCACGTCTATCCGCGGTGCGATTTTGTGTTACGAAGGTCGAGTTACGAAATCTTTGCCAACACGTGTCCGTATCAACAGCGCGTCGAAAACGCGTGCACCGGGTTCGGACAAGCTGCAAAAAATATGATGATGACATAGGGTTTCCATATTTCATTGGCGAAAATTTTTTTCGGGCAATTTTTTTTTCCTTCGTTTTTCTTATTGCCATAACTAAGGACCGGATTTATACGCACAAAAAATTCTCAAAATATGCTTCTAAAAATGCTCTAATATGCTATAAAATATGTATTTATTTTTAAATATGTACTTAAATATTCAATTAAAATGTTGTTTAAAATTATGTACAAATATGTGAAATGTATTATAAATATAAAAATAATCATTAATTAATACGGTATTAAAAAAAGTATAAAAAAGCTTTTAAAATATTTTGTCGTCTTTGTCGCCATTTAACATTCTTTATCTTCAATCTACAAAGTATAAATACCCACATTAATAAAAAGTGAAAACAAAAATTGAATTCATTGCATTGGATGATATGAGTATGTAATCTTATCTTTGGAAATAAACACCGATCGCAATTATGTGGCAGTGATCGTGAAAATACGACGAAAACGAATATATGTGCTACTAATAATAAAATGTATTATAAAACTATAAATATGCATTTAATAGGTTAAAACGTTGAAATATGCAAAATATGCAAAATAAAATTAGTTTTATTTTAATAAGAAAGATCTAAATCGGGGACAGTGCTCATCAGATTTCAAAAAGTTTATTCCAATACAATTATGCATTTGCATATAAATCCGGTCCCTAGTCATAACTTTTTATTGATTTTCCGATTGTACTGGGACAATTATTAAAAAAAATGTATTCGTTTATTGATTAATTGTTTCTACGGCATACCTCATATCACATCACCCTTCCCCCCTCACGAAAATGTACGACACTACTCCCCGGTACAAAAGGTCTGAAGTGAACACTTCAGAAACACTTCAAAAGGTCTGAAGTGAAGGACTGCGGTCCGACCACTCTATGCTACAGCGCATAAACCAAAGTGATCAGTTCACCGGTCTCGTGAGAGAACGCATTTGACCGGAGTAATCGTCAGTTAGCCAGGAAAATAATTAAAAATAGATTTCGTTAGTCGACCGTTCAACTTTTTATCTGATCACGACAATAATATTATAGTTTTCGGCCTAGAGTTCAACCGGATACAAACATATGTTGTTGAAATCCCATTCCGGGACAATAGTTTCGTGTATCTAACAAGTACCGATCACGTTGTTCTTCATTGTGTAGAGTTGTTTAAATTAGAACTCTTGTCACTTACGCCGTACTCAAAATCGGCAGAGCGGT